CCTCCCTGGGTGGTTGCTGTCTACCAACCTACTACCACAGGATGGTAGTACCTCCCTGGGTGGTTGCTGTCTACCAACCTACTACCACAGGATGGTAGTACCTCCCTGGGTGGTTGCTGTCTACCAACCTACTACCACAGGATGGTACTACCTCCCTGGGTGGTTGCTGTCTACCAACCTACTACCACAGGATGGTACTACCTCCCTGGGTGGTTGCTGTCTACCAGCCTACTACCACAGGATGGTAGTACCTCCCTGGGTGGTTGTTGTCTACCAACCTACTACCACAGGATGGTAGTACCTCCCTGGGTGGTTGCTGTCTACCAACCTACTACCACAGGATGGTAGTACCTCCCTGGGTGGTTGCTGTCTACCAACCTACTACCACAGGATGGTAGTACCTCCCTGGGTGGTTGTTGTCTACCAGCCTACTACCACAGGATGGTAGTACCTCCCTGGGTGGTTGTTGTCTACCAGCCTACTACCACAGGATGGTAGTACCTCCCTGGGTGGTTGCTGTCTACTAACCTACTACCACAGGATGGTAGTACCTCCCTGGGTGGTTGTTGTCTACCAACCTACTACCACAGGACGGTAGTACCTCCCTGGGTGGTTGCTGTCTACCAACCTACTACCACAGGATGGTAGTACCTCCCTGGGTGGTTGCTGTCTACCAACCTACTACCACAGGACAGTAGTACCTCCCTGGGTGGTTGCTGTCTACCAACCTACTACCACAGGATGGTAGTATCTCCCTGGGTGGTTGCTGTCTACCAACCTACCACAGGATGGTAGTACCTCCCTGGGTGGTTGCTGTCTACCAACCTACTACCACAGGATGGTAGTACCTCCCTGGGTGGTTGCTGTCTACCAACCTACTACCACAGGATGGTAGTACCTCCCTGGGTGGTTGCTGTCTACCAACCTACTACCACAGGATGGTAGTACCTCCCTGGGTGGTTGCTGTCTACCAACCTACTACCACAGGATGGTAGTACCTCCCTGGGTGGTTGTTGTCTACCAACCTACTACCACAGGATGGTAGTACCTCCCTGGGTGGTTGTTGTCTACCAACCTACTACCACAGGATGGTAGTACGTCCCTGGGTGGTTGCTGTCTACCAACCTACTACCACAGGACGGTAGTACCTCCCTGGGTGGTTGCTGTCTACCAACCTACTACCACAGGATGGTAGTACTTCCCTGGGTGGTTGTTGTCTACCAACCTACTACCACAGGATGGTAGTACCTCCCTGGGTGGTTGCTGTCTACCAACCTACTACCACAGGATGGTACTACCTCCCTGGGTGGTTGCTGTCTACCAACCTACTACCACAGGACGGTAGTACCTCCCTGGGTGGTTGCTGTCTACCAACCTACTACCACAGGATGGTAGTACCTCCCTGGGTGGTTGCTGTCTACCAACCTACTACCACAGGACGGTAGTACCTCCCTGGGTGGTTGCTGTCTACCAACCTACTACCACAGGACGGTAGTACCTCCCTGGGTGGTTGCTGTCTACCAACCTACTACCACAGGATGGTAGTACCTCCCTGGGTGGTTGCTGTCTACCAACCTACTACCACAGGATGGTAGTACCTCCCTGGGTGGTTGTTGTCTACCAACCTACTACCACAGGATGGTAGTACCTCCCTGGGTGGTTGCTGTCTACCAACCTACTACCACAGGACAGTAGTACCTCCCTGGGTGGTTGCTGTCTACCAACCTACTACCACAGGATGGTAGTACCTCCCTGGGTGGTTGTTGTCTACCAACCTACTACCACAGGATGGTAGTACCTCCCTGGGTGGTTGCTGTCTACCAACCTACTACCACAGGATGGTAGTACCTCCCTGGGTGGTTGCTGTCTACCAACCTACTACCACAGGACAGTAGTACCTCCCGGGGTGGTTGCTGTCTACCAACCTACTACCACAGGATGGTAGTACCTCCCTGGGTGGTTGTTGTCTACCAACCTACTACCACAGGATGGTAGTACCTCCCTGGGTGGTTGCTGTCTACCAACCTACTACCACAGGATGGTAGTACCTCCCTGGGTGGTTGCTGTCTACCAACCTACTACCACAGGACAGTAGTACCTCCCTGGGTGGTTGCTGTCTACCAACCTACTACCACAAGGTGGTAGTACCTCCCTGGGTGGTTGTTGTCTACCAACCTACTACCACAGGATGGTAGTACCTCCCTGGGTGGTTGCTGTCTACCAACCTACTACCACAGGATGGTAGTACCTCCCTGGGTGGTTGCTGTCTACCAACCTACTACCACAGGACAGTAGTACCTCCCTGGGTGGTTGCTGTCTACCAACCTACTACCACAGGATGGTAGTACCTCCCTGGGTGGTTGTTGTCTACCAACCTACTACCACAGGATGGTAGTACCTCCCTGGGTGGTTGCTGTCTACCAACCTACTACCACAGGATGGTAGTACCTCCCTGGGTGGTTGCTGTCTACCAACCTACTACCTAGGACACATATATTTCCATATATAATGGAAACCTTCTTACCCTTTTCTAGATATTGCTCACTCATATGCTTCAATGTAAACTCCTTGTTCTTCTGCAATCCTTCTCTCCATCTTTCCTCTGATTCTTTCAATAATAACCGTACCGTACGCTGTACCTGGTATACTCAGAAGGCTTATTCCCTTATATTTTTACACTCTTGTCCCCTTCCATTTATATAAAGGAACTACAGTGGACCCCCGCTTAACGATCACCTCCAAATGCGACCAATTATGTAAGTGTATTTATGTAAGTGCGTTTGTACGTGTATGTTTGGGGGTCTGAAATGGACTAATCTACTTCACAATATTCCTTATGGGAAAAAATTCGGTCAGTACTGGCACCTGAACATACTACTGGAATGAAAAAAGTTCGTTAACCGGGGGTCCACTGTATGCACTCTTTCTGCCAGTCCCTTGGTACCTTCCCTCTTTCATACATTTATTGAACAAAAGTACCAACCAGTCTAAAACTATATCCTCACCTGCTTTTAACATATCTTTTATGATCCCATCAATTCCAGGTGCTTGACCTCCTTTCATTCTACCCACAGCCTCACATACTTCCTCCACACTCACATCCTGCTCTTCTTCACTCCTAAAAGATGTTATACCTCCATGGCAATTGCATGAAATTATGCCTCTCTTTCTTCATCAACATTTAACAGTTCCTCCAAATATTACCTCCACCTTCCCAATACCTCCAACTCCCCATCAACTAACTCTTCTATTCTGTTTTTAACTGTCCAATCCATTTGTTTGCCATGGCTTCTCAACCTGTTTATTTCATTCCAAAACTTTTTCTTATTCTCAGCGAAATTTGTTGACAGCATCTCACCTACTCTCTCTCATTTGCACTCTTTTTACATTCCTTCACCACTCTCGTAACCTCTCTTTTGCTTTCCATATACACCTCCATCCTTATATCACTTCTACTTTGTAAAAACTTCTCATATGCTAACTTTATCTTCCTTATCACACCCTTAACTTCATTCTACCAATCACGCCTCCTTCTTTCCACATCCACCCTTATATAGCCACAAACTTCTGACCCACAGTCTAAGACTGCATTATTAAAACTATGTCACTCATCTTCAACCCCCCCCCCCCCACTAACTATACTCTCACTATCCCACCTTTCTCCCAATAGTTGCTTATATCTTACCCTAACTTCCTCCTCCCTTAACCCTTTGACTGTTTTCGACGTATAAATACGTCTTATGAGCCAATGTTTCTGACGTATATATGTATACTCAATAATTCTGGCGGCTTCAAATCAAGCAGGAGAAAGCTGGTAGGCCCACATGTGAGAGAATGGGTCTGTGTGGTCAGTGTGCACCACATAAAAAAATCCTGCAGCACACATTGCGTAATGAGAAAAAAAAACTGATAGTTTTTTTGGAATAAAACGCCGACTTTGAGGTGTATTTTCGTATAGTATTTATCATTGTATTCTCGTTTTCATGGTCTTAGGTGATAAAATGGAAAACATATTACAGAAATAGAGATGATTTTCATTACTTTGACGATAAAAACGACCTTGAAACTGAGCTCAAATTAGCGGAGATGTTCGATTTTTACCAATGTTCAGGAGTAAACAAATCACACCACATATCCAATATACGTCAACTGGGGAGTCTAATATTCTTTCACTAGTGCACTGATATTATTTATACCATTTTTACAATAATGCAGTAGTCTGCACAACAGTAAATTCTGTATTTGTTTGTATGAATAAAAAATCAAAATAGAAAGCAATAATAATATAAGAGGGGCCTAGAGATGTGACTAATGAACAGAGGATATGTTATTTTAGTGCCAAGAATGTCTACCTTGTTTATTCTGGACCCTATTTTGAAATTGGCATCTTTTTTAGTTTGCGTGAAATTGGCCAAATTGCCAATTTCTGACCACAATATTGGGTAGTCCAAATTGGTAAATGGGAAGTTTCTTGTACTCAGCTGATAGATAAAATGGAGTTCTAAAGAAATAGCTATGAGTTTGGTCAACTGGAACAAAGGAATTGGCTGAAAATAGGGCTCAAAGTCGGCGAAATCGCCGATACGCATATGTCGCCGAGACCGCTAACTTCGCGGGAGCGTAATTCCATGAGTTTTTGACCAAATTTCGAACTTTTGGTGTCATTACCATCGGGAAAAGATTCTCTATCATTTCATAAGAAAAAATAATTTTTTTTTTTTCAAAAATTTAGCAACATAGAATGACAGTTTCAGAAAGGGGCCTGAAACAGTCAAAAGGTTAATACATAAACTTTCACCTCTCTCTTACTTGCTGATGCTATTTTCGTTTAACTGTTGCTACAACTAAATAATGATCTGATATATCTGTGGCCCCCCTATAAACATGCACATCCTGTAGTCTACCCATCAACCTTTTATCCACTAATAAATAATCCAACAAACTATTTTTATATTATTATTATTATTATTATTATTATTCATGTTATTATTACTTGCCAGTTCTGCAACATGTTTGAGCACCTGAGCCCGTCAGAGTGGTTGTTATACATCAGTGAGTGGCAGGACGGTGGTCAGCAAGCCAGTAACATCCGTGTCACCACTAAGGTCGCTGTTAACGCTCTCCTCCATTCCAATGCTAAGGTCAGTGTAACACTGAGGTATGTTATTACAGTGTGCCAGTTGTAGTGGTCAGTCTGGGTGTCAGACATAGACACCCAGCTGTGTGTCAGACATAGCTTACATCCAGCTGTGTGTCAGACATAGCTGACACCGAACTGGGTGTGAGACATTCCTGGCACCCAGCAAGCTAGGCATTCCCTGGCACTTGGTCAGGTGATGAATCTCTTATTAGCATTGCTGCAGACACTGGCACCCAGTACTAGTAACATACTAGTATGTTAACCCAGTACTAGTAACATACCAGTATTTTAACCTAGTAATAGTAACATAAGTATGGTTGATGCACGTTATTCCCTCTGTACACACAATATACATAGTGATCTAACATGGTATTACAAAAGTATGATTCATCAACTATACACAGTATACACACTGATGTACTATTACAGGTACAATACAATACAATACAATACAATACACAAGAGTACCATACACGGGTACATGAGTACCTGTAATACTATACACACTTATATTACTGCCTTTATTGTTACCTTTGATGAGTTCCAAGAGTTTTTTTTTTTTACTCCGGGAGCCTGGAGTGGGAGTGGGACATCAGGCTGTTGCTGCTGGTGTCCCACTGCCCCACATATCCATCACATCCTGGTTGATCTGGCATTTGAAGATACTTGTCCAGTTTCCTCTTGAAGGCTTCTACACGTGTTCCAGCAGTGTTTCTGATATCTTCTGATAAGATGTTGAATAATCTGGGACCATGAATGTTGATACAGTGTTCTCTTATTGTATGCATGGCACACCTGCTTTTCACTGGGTTATTTTGCACTTCCTAGGTAGTAGGTTGGTAGACAGCAACCGCCCAGGGAGGTACTACCGTCCTGCCAAGTGAGTGTAAAATGAAAGCCTGTAATTGTTTTACATGATGGTAGGATTGCTGGTGTCCATTTTTCTGTCTCATAAACATGCAAGATTTCAGGTACGTCTTGCTACTTCTACTTACGCTTAGGTCACACTACACATACGTGTACAAGCATATATATACACACCCCTCTGGGTTTTCTAATATTTTCTTACTAGTTCTTGTTCTTATTAATTTCCTCTTACCTCCATGGGGAAGTGGAACAGAATTCTTCCTCCGTAAGCCATGCGTGTTGTAAGAGGCGACTAAAATGCCAGGAGCAAGGGGCTAGTAACCCCTTCTCCTGTATATATTACTAAATGTAAAAGGAGAAACTTTAATTTTTCCTTTTGGGCCACCCCGCCTCGGTGGGATATGGCCGGTGTATTGAAAGAAAGAAAGATTTTGCACTTCCATATCTCTGACTCCAGTATGTTGTGTCAGTGTACAGACCTGGGACAAGGCCCTCAAGCACATTCTAGGTATATATTATAATGTATCTCTCCTCTGCTCCAGTGAGTACATATTTAAAACTTCAAGGTATTTCCCAGTAATTTAAATGTTTTATTGGTTCTATGCTGGCTGTAAATGATCTCTGTATATGTTCCAGCGCTGATATTTTTCCTTCCCTGAACGGGGCTGTCATCACTGAGCAATATTTGAAATAAAGGAGAATGAGTTATTTAAAAAGTGTCACCATTGACACTATTTCCCTTGTTTTGAAGGTTCTCATTATGCACTCTGTCATCCTGGAAATAAATGGTATAAAATACCAACACAATGGAAACATAAACACTTAAGCAGTATAATGTGATCCTTTGACAACATTTTGCCCACACAGTGGGCTTTATCAAGTCACAATCAGATCTGTTTGTGACTTGATAAAGCCCACTGTGTGGGTGAAACGTTGTCAATAAAGGATCACATTATACTGCTTAAGTGTTTATATTTCCACCCTGTCATCCTCCTGGTTGTCATGACCTTTGTTTTACTGTGTTCCTTATAAAAGGTCAGCTGACATTAATTATTTCCAGTGGAAGGGGCAGTAAGGTCTTTGCTCCTGTGTTTTGCTAGTAACTGAGACATCCTAACAACCCTGTAATGGCTTCGCAAAGATACATATAACACCAACATATATGAAGATCCAGAATGATATAAATCAGCTGCAGAAACCACCCACATATATGCTATATTACTAAGCAAGAAGACTGCTTGTTGTCACCCCACCGTCTGCCCTGCGGCTGGGCGAAGTGAAACTTCCCAACATCCGCCCACTACCCATATAGAACAAAACATCTGAAGCTACTACCAATGGCCAAAGGCCAGGACAGCAGAGGAGGATCCAGACACCAACCCAGGACTCAGAACACAGGTGAGGGGAATATTCTACAAGTACAGTGTCTCCTCCCAGCCAGGAGACAACACCCACCAAACATCAACATGGCTGCTAGCTCAAGCAATAAGCACTACTCCTTCCCTGGATTTGATATGAAGATACATGACCCAAATATAGCAAATTCATTAGTATCTAAGGTGAAAAAATTGATATGGTAACCAGGGAAATGCAAGAACTATAAACTTGCAGCACTGAACTAAAGACTGCTCGGGCTGACTATTTAAACAAGATCACAAACCTGGAGCACAAAATAAAGACACTAGAACAAAATAGTAACACTCACACTGAGACTCAAGACACCATCAGCCTCCTCAAACAGCAAGTGACTCAACATCAACATTAAGAAGAAAAATCACAAGTAGACTCGCAACTTGCTGGTGTCATCAAACTCTGTAAGGATCATACAGACCAACAACAGCTGTCTGATGCTGTTGTAGTTAACAGCCAATATCTCCCAGCTGTCATAACCCAAGACACATGTATACCACCGTACAGCTGGTCATAGACGACCTTAAAGTAAACATAATAGTGATGAAATAAAAAGAGTGTAAACTGATAACTAATCAAACTTAGAATAAACTGTACTATCAAATTTCTGCTGTAGCTCAATAAGAAATAACCTATTTCAGTCATATATAACTACAAAAAGTGGTGCGTACATCAATGATTGCCTTACTAAAATATGATAAAACCTTTGTAGACTAAGAAAACTGTGCCATGAGCTACAGCCTCACCAGTGCCTTGTGAGGGGCAGATAATTGCAGTCAGGAAAGTAATACTTCTTTTCTAATGAACATTAGCTAAAAAAGATCATAAGTAATGCTGGCCTATCTGAGTCAGAATAAAATGCAGTTTGTACCCACTCCAGGTAAACTAATATCCATGAACAGTGTTGTGAAACAATCTGTAACTAGTAACAAAAAAAGGCACAATACCGTGACTGGAACGATACACAAATAACCCGCACATTGAAGAGAGGAGCTTACGACGACGTTTTGGCCGACTTGGACCATTTACAAAGTCACACTAACAAAAAGGAGAGAAAGAGGGAGTATATATAGGTAGAAGGTAGTAGCGGGGAAGGTAGTATGGAGGAGGAGGAGCCAGTCAAATACTAAGAAAGAGAAGCACTGCGAGGGAACTAGGTGCCCACAATGGAGCTAGGTGCCCACAGACAGTAAGAGCAAGAACACAGGGGGGGGGGAATAAATAAATAATGAACAATTACCCAAGGCAGAAGAAAGACAACCTAAAGGAGAAAAAGGAAAGAGGAAGAAGGAGAAGAAGAAAAAGGAGGAATCAGGTGTTCTGAAGTTTGGAGCATTTTACAATGTAGTGGGAAAGGAAGGCATCTACAGAGACAAAGCCAGGACTAAGATTCATACAAGGAAAGTTGTGTATAAGGGAGGATTCAACCAGCGGCGACTGTTAAAGTTGGAAGTAGTCATACCTCTCCTCCCTCTATAAATGCTCCTGGTGTCTACTCTATTTCTTGTTCTTCCTGTCCTCTTCAGTACGTTGGAGAAACTGGCCTATCTCTTTCTGACAGACTTAGACAGCGCAAAAGTAGTGTTAGGCTTGCCGACACTAACAATGCTTTTTTTCTGTCACGTCAGAGATCACAGTCATCCTATTGACTGGTCTTCTGCTAAAACTGTCTTCCCTACTTCCAACTTTAACAGTCGCCATTTATATTTCTACTACAAGCTGGGATAATCACAGACAACACCACACACTCCTACCCTCATCTTCCTCATAACCAACTTATGTAAATTGCCTCAAGACACAAGATCTCATTTCATCTCCATGATGAGTCATCAGTAAATAACTTCATTTCAGCATTAGGTGACACTGACAGCCACAGACAGCCAGCTGACAGCCATGACATTGATGAATGTATCAAAATTTTCTTAAAAAAAAAAAAAAAAAAAAAACATTGTACAATTAAAACTGAACAGATTACACCAGAGACTAAGCAGCCCATGATTTAAAAATAGCATCCACAAATCCATTGATAAAAAACACATCAATATGAAGAACAGTTCGGACTGGGTTTTATATTATAAGATCACACCAAACAATATATACCTTCATTATCCAAGCAGATTTAGTGAAATAAAATGGGATGTAAGACCTGGAAAAACCTCTCTGAAATCCTGGGTTCTTAAAAACTGTCCAGAAACAGAGATATAAACCTAACTAAGCTCAATGAACCAGACATCCAGCCTGCAGACACTGCCAACAAATCCTAATGTTTTTTTCTTTACTATAGCATCATAACTAGCAAACAGAATCCCAACCATGAATACTCAGGTAAAAGACTAACTCACTGGAAATTACCAAAATACTCTATATGTATATAACTCCAACTAATCCTACTGAAGTCTCACTTATTATAAAATAACCCCCCCCCAAAACAAAACAAAAAAACAGGAAGCCTAAATAACTTGCCACCAATCATGTACAAAACAGCAGCTCATGTATTGTCAACCATTGTTGCAACTCTGTTGAAGAAATCAGTGAAATCCTCAACTTTCTCATCTATACTCAAGATAGCAAGGGTCACCTTGATCCTCAACTTTCTCATCTATACTCAAGATAGCAAGGGTCACCTTGATCCTCAACCTTCTCATCTATACTCAAGATAGCAAGGGTCACCTTGATCCTCAACCTTCTCATCCATGCTCAAGATAGCAAGGGTCACCTTGATCCTCAACCTTCTCATCCATACTCAAGATAGCAAGGGTCACCTTGATCCTCAACCTTCTCATCCATACTCAAGATAGCAAGGGTCACCTTGATCCTCAACCTTCTCATCCATACTCAAGATAGCAAGGGTCACCTTGATCCTCAACCTTCTCATCTATACTCAAGATAGCAAGGGTCACCTTGATCCTCAACTCTCTCATCCATACTCAAGATAGCAAGGGTCACCTTGATCCTCAACCTTCTCATCTATACTCAAGATAGCAAGGGTCACCTTGATCCTCAACCTTCTCATCCATTCTCAAGATAGCAAGGGTCACCTTGATCCTCAACCTTCTATCCATACTCAAGATAGCAAGGGTCACCTTGATCCTCAACCTCTCATCCATACCAAGATAGAAAGGGTCACCTTGATCCTCAACCTTCTCATCCATACTCAAGATAGCAAGGGTCACCTTGATCCTCAACCTTCTCATCTATACTCAAGATAGCAAGGGTCACCTTGATCCTCAACTCTCTCATCCATACTCAAGATAGCAAGGGTCACCTTGATCCTCAACCTTCTCATCTATACTCAAGATAGCAAGGGTCACCTTGATCCTCAACCTTCTCATCCATTCTCAAGATAGCAAGGGTCACCTTGATCCTCAACCTTCTCATCCATACTCAAGATAGCAAGGGTCACCTTGATCCTCAACCTTCTCATCCATACTCAAGATAGAAAGGGTCACCTTGATCCTCAACCTTCTCATCCATACTCAAGATAGCAAGGGTCACCTTGATCCTCAACTCTCTCATCCATACTCAAGATAGCAAGGGTCACCCTGATCTTTAAAGGAGGCAATCCAACTAAACTGGACAACCATCGGCCTATATCAAACTTGCCCTATCTAAGATCTTTGAAAAAAAAACATACATAAGCAAATTTACTCCTACCTAATATTTCGCAACATATTTAACTCCTGCCAGTTTGGGTTTAGGCTGAAAAAAACGATCAAATGATCAATTATACAAATGCTTGAACTGCTTTATGCAGCTCTTGAAAAAAAAAAAATGAATATCTTCTGGAGATCTTCAGAGATCTGTGAAAATCATTCAGTACAGTGGACTATAATATCTTGCACCTTAAACTAGAACCTAAAATCTTAGCAGTAGACACCGGTATGTCTCCACAAATGGTGTAACATCATTTACTTGATAAATTAGACACATGTGCAACTCTTGGGTATCTTTATTGAGGAAACGTTTCGCCACACAGTGGCTTCATCAGTCCATACACAAGAGAGGCTAGAAGAACAGGAGGAGAATGAGGTAATCAGTCCCTCAGCCTTGAGTCGATGTGATCAGTCCATCCATTCTATTCAAGATTGATGGACTGACCACATCGGCTCAAGGCTGAGGGACTGATTACCTCATTCTCCTCCTGTTCTTCTAGCCTCTCTTGTGTATGGACTGATGAAGCCACTGTGTGGCAAAACGTTTCCTCAATAAAGATACCCAAGAGTTGCACATGTGTCTAATTTATCAACGTGTCGGTTCTGTGAACCAATCGTCATTTACTTAGCCATACGAGTGCCCCAAGGTAGTGTCCTTGGCCCTTTGCTCTTTCTCATTTACATCAATGATCTCTCTCAGTATAGACAAAACCTACTACATACTGTTTGGAAGCAGAGCTTTAAATATCCAGCTTAACATATTGATCATTGGTTCTCCCATTACAGATACACTGAAGGCAAATTTTTAGGTCTTCACCTTGACTGCAACTTGAAATTTCATACTTACATCCAACACATAGCCAAGAAGGTCTCCACAACAGTAGTCGTCCTCTCCAAGATACAGTACACCTCCCATCCGACGTACGACCTGCTCGACATACGACCACTTGACTTACGACTGTGTTTTGCATGCCAAATTTCTGGGAAATAAACAAGTGTGTGTTGTACACAGTGTTTATCCTAAACCTTACAGTATAAAACACAGTCCTAACAGCATAAAAAGTATAGTAAAAAATGAAATACCAAAATAAAACAATAAAATAAAGTCATTACAAAAATGTGATGTTGATATTCAGTAATAAGGTTCAACTTACGTCCATATTGACTTATGACCGGTTGGTCGGAACCAAGCTTGGTCGTAAGTTGGATGGTACCTGTACTATATACCCCACATAACACTACTTATGCTATACCACTCTGTAATCTACCTTTACCTCACCTGTGGTATTTGTGTTTGGGGATCTACTATGACTACTCACCTTAAACCATTAATAACCCAATGAAGAGCTTCTGTGCAGACTCTCACCCTGTGCCAGATAACACACCCCTCCACTCTTCAAGAGTTTGAACTTAATATACAAAATATGCACTCATTATTGTGCATGTATATATAGAACATTAAAATCTGATATAAAAGCTCCTCTCAAACTTCTCCTTGATAGCTCCACCAGAACACACCGGCACAACATAAGACACAAAACTCATCCAGCTACGTATTTCTGTTTCTTCACATCTCTTATATTTTTCCTAGCCTGAAATATAACCAGTTAAACTACTCAAGAAATTCCAATTAGCTGAAGATCACTAAATTAGTTTTAAGTATTAATATACACCTAAAACTGTACTAGTGTAAATTGTACTACAGTGGAACCTTGGTTTTTGTGACTAATTTGTTCGAAAACGTCTGACGATGAACCGAATCGTATGAAAACTGAAGCAATATTTTCCATAAGAAATAATGTAAATCCAATTATTCCATTCCAGACACCCAAAAATATTAACAAAAAATATATTTTATAGAGAATAACTATAGTTTTATATACAAACTAAGGCATACAAAAACCGAGGTTCCACTGTAATTGTAATAACGTTTTTTTGCTACCTCTCTACTATAAATTTTTCTAACTATAATTTTTTATGAGCTTTTTTTTATAAAAATACAGTGGACCCCCGCATAACGATCACCTCTGAATGCGACCAATTATGTAAGTGTATTTATGTAAGTGCGTTTGTACGTGTATGTTTGGGGGTCTGAAATGGACTAATCTACTTCACAATATTCCTTATGGGAACAAATTCAGTCAGTACTGGCACCTGAACATACTTCTGGAGTGAAAAAATATCGTTAACCGGGGGTCCACTGTACACAAAATTTACCACTCCATAACGTATGTGTCTAGTTTTAAGTACATACTGTATAAGCATTAGGATTAGTCTGCCCAAAATGTTCAAACATCCTAGTGGCTTATTTTGTGCTTGACAATACTTCATTACACACAAACTACAGTTTGTGTACTACACAAAGAAATAAAAATTTTAATTTTTTATTTGATTTGATTTTGAAGTCTTTCACATGTTCCTTTCTATTTGATGATCCTCTTAAGTTTTGTATGCAGTGTTCCTTTTGAGTTCTTCATTCTTTCCATATCTCAGCAGCTGGAACTTATCATCATTGAATATCATGTTCTTCATTGCTTACTGGAAAATCTTGTATATTTTTCTCTAATTTTTTAGTGTCTTCTAACGAAGTGATATTTATATTATTTTAGTGTCATCTGCAGTTGATGATACAGAACTGTGATGGGTATTTTTATCTGTTTGCCATGAGGATAAGAAACAGCAGAGGTACCAGGACAGTGCCTTGGGGAATTGGGCTCTTTACTTCAGTGGTGCTGGATTTTGCTGTTTACTACAGGACGGCCATCACTAATCCGGCAATCAGTTATCTGGTTCCATCAGTAATCCGGCACTAATTTCAGCTAGCATAATTTCATCATTATATTGACTCAGAAATTGTGCAGATGGTTGTAAATCCACTGGAGAAAAGTGATGAAAATCAGGACGATGTAGCAGAAAGTCTCTATTGATAGGTTAATTAAGTGTATTCTAGCTTAATTACTCTGTAATCCGGCAAACTCAATAATCCAGCACACTACAGGTCCCAATGATGCTGGATTAGCGATGGCTGCCTGTACTAAATTTGTTTTTGTGTGTGTTAGGAACCCAAAAATCCATCTCCCTAACTTCCCTGTAAGGGCTACTGGTCTGTAATTTTTGTCTGTCATGTACAACCTTTTATACACAGCATACACACTGATGCATTATATGAATTACAGGTACAAGAGTATGGTTCAGCCATCATGTACAACCTTGGCACTAAGGAGGTGAAAACAGTTGTCTTTGATGATGTGGCACCAGAGTTGGCCATGGCAATACTGCAATTCTTTAATAACCACCCCCCTGAGGAACTGTTGTGGCGTACCCTGACGGCACTCTGCAGGTGAGTGTACTATTATGATGGCACTATGCTACTGTGATGGCACTATAGTGAACACTACCATGATGGTAGTATGCACTACCATGATGGTAGTATACACTACCATGATGGTAGTATACACTACCATGATGGTAGTATACACTACCATGATGGTGGTATACACTACCATGATGGTGGTATACACTACCATGATGGTTCTCTGGCAATCTTAAATGTGTTAAAAGTAACGAGGCATTTTTTCCACTTTGTTCAGATTCTGTTATTCGTCAACTGAGGTGCCGGCACTCATCAAGATGATTGGTCCTGAGCCTGGCACCTTCAAGGGTGCCAGTGAGCGTGTAGATGCCGTCATAGAGGAGATTGATGCCAAGCTTAGTCGAGTTCGACTCTTCTAGACATTTTTAATACTCTTCTAGATGCGATTAATACTCGTCGACTCTATGATTGAGACGTGTATATAATTTATTTATTATTATGGTAATTTTATGACTTTTTTAGTTATAATGGAGAATTTTAATTCTGTGACTTTTTGTAATGACAAAAAAAATTACTTTCATAAGGTAATTTATTTTAAACATGTTGAATTGTGTTAATAAAATTAGGCCTCTTAGGTCTGGTACCTGGGAGGTTGTCCTCTTAGGCCTGGTACCTTGGAGATCATTCTCTTAGGCCTAGTACTTGCTGTGGTCATTCTCTTAGGCCTGGTACTTGCTGTGGTCCTTATCTTAGGCCTAATACTTGGTGTGGTCATTCTATTAGGCCTTATACTTGGTGTGGTTGTTCTCTTAGGCCTGGTTCTTTGGGAGGTCACCCCATTGGCCTGGTTCTTTGGGAGGTCACCCCATAGGTCTGGTTCTTTGGGAGGTCACCCCATAGGTCTGGTTCTTTGGGAGGTCATCCCATTGGCCTGGTTCTTTGGGAGGTCACCCCATAGGCCTGGTTCTTTGGGAGGTCACCCCATTGGCCAAGTTCTTTGGGAGGTGACCCCATAGGCCTGGTTCTTTGGGATGTTACAGCATAGGCCTGGTTCTTTGGGAGGTCACCCCCATTGGCCTGGTTCTTTGGGAGGTCACCCCATTGGCCTGGTTCTTTGGGAGGTCATCCCATAGGCCTGGTTCTTTGAGAGGTCACCCCTAGGCCTGGTTCTTCAGGTGGTTGTCCTCTTATGCATGGTACTTCAGGTCACTGCCTCTGTGGCCTAGTACCTAGGGGTCACCACCTGTGTGGCCTTGTACCTGGGGGCCACTGCCCCTGTGGCATGGTACCTGGGAGTCACTGCTTCTGTGGCCTAGTACCTGGGGGTAACCACCCCTGTGACCTAGTACATGGGGGTCACTGCCCCTGTGGCCTAGTACCTGGGGGTCACCACCCCTGTGTAGTACCTGGGAGTCACTGCCTCTGTGGCCTAGTACCTGGGAGTCACTGCCCCTGTGGCCTAGTACCTGGGAGTCACTGCCCCAGTGGCCTAGTACCTGAAGGTCACTGCCCCAGTGGCCTAGTACCTGGGGTCACTCCCCCATGGCCTAGTACCTGGGGTCACTGCCCCAGTGGCCTAGTACCTGGGGGTCACTGCCCCTGTGGCCTAGTACTTGGGGTCACTGCCCTAATGGCCTAGTACCTGTGGGGTCACTGCCCCAGTGGCCTAGTACCTAGGGGTCACTGCCCCCATGGCCTAGTACCTGGGGTCACCACCCCAGTGGCCTAGTACCTGGGAGTCACCACCCAAGTGGCCTAGTACCAGGGGTCACTGCCCCAGTGGCCTAGTACCTGGGGGTCACTGCCCTAGTGGCCTGGTTAAGCTGCTTCATACTAACATGGCATCACTGGCACCTAGCAGCTGTGGCAGCTGTGCTTTTATCACTGTTAATGGCTTATACACGAGGCACTGCAGGTTATAACAGTGAGCTGTTATAACAGTGACGAAGATGGATTTATGATTCATCACAATGCGTTGCAGTGACGAAGATGGACTTAAAACATGCCAGAACGCGTTTCTCACTTGTATACGACACCAATGTTGAACTCAGTGTTGCAAGTATTGTAAAACTATGTTGAGCACTGCCTATGGTAATAGTGGACACAATACATAAATATGGTGTACAATGAGTTAAAAACAATGAGGTATTTGTTAAATGTTCCTTGCTTATGTATAATGAGTTGCTGACAGCTTGGTGCAGTGACAGATGTGAAAGACGACTGAGATGATGTTTCGCTATACTCGGTTTGGGGACGTAATGCTCCGAGGCTTATTTATGGTAGTGATATATTGCCTTTTATCAGGATACCACTGACTGTCTTTCAGCAGGGTAGAGTCATCCAGGAAGAAGAATCATTCACCATCATTCAGTTAATGGCTGCCTAGCCAGAGGTGGACAGAGTTGGTGATGGATCTTTGATCTGCAACATCCTCACTCATCCTTCAGAGTGCTGCCACTGTACCTCTCAACTCCACCCGTCCTTCACTCAGCTCTATATACAGTCAGCTCTTATAAAGCTCTATATACGGTCAACTTTTTTGTAAAGCTCTTCTATGTAAAGTTTGTAAACCAACCATAAACCAGTTGAGGTCTTGTAAACCTTGTAAAACCAGTTGTAAACAATTTAAACCTTGTTACCCAGATGTAAACCTTGTAAAATAGTTGTAAACCAGATGTGTACCTTGTAAACCTGATGTAAACCAGATGTGAACCTCGTAAACCTGATGTAAACCAGATGTGAACCTCGTAAACCTGATGTAAACCAGATGTGAACCTTGTAAACCTGAGTAAACAGATGTGACTCGTAACCTGATGTATAACGATGTGAACCTCGTACTGGTAAACCAGATGTGAACCTCGTAAACCTGATGTAAACCAGATGTGAACCTTGTAAACTAAATGTAAAACTTGTAAACCAGTTATAAACCTTTGTAAAGCAGATGTAAACCTTGAAAATTAGTTCCAAATCTTACCTGTGAACTGGTTTTTACGGGGTAAATTTAATGACTGATTTTGGCGGATCACCCAAACTGTTGTTGCAGAAATTTCATCTGAAAAAGCGTTAAAGAATTTACTGCCTTTTCAAAACTGTCTGCTTTGAGAACTTTTGTAATGATTTACAAAAACTGTGAAAAGTGAAAAAAGAGCCCTTTCAAAACTGTTTTGTATAATTAGATTTAGTTTTAGAAGCCAAAAATTTTGTATTCTTTCAAAAAAAAATTTATGTAAGCATTTGAATTTTTTGACACTTTAATTTTAATGTAAATTTTATACTGACAAGGGGTTGCAGTGTATATCCTGAGTTTTGTGTGTGCGTGTATATCATTTTGGAGTTGTGTTCTTTGTATATACACTGAGAGTTTTTGTGTGCAGTGTTTTAAAAAATGAGAGTTGGTGTCAGTGAAATTTTACACTGGAGTTGTGTGTGAAAAGTGTTATGCACTGAGGTTTTTGTTGCAGGTATATTCCCCCCCAATGGGGTTTTGTGTGTGCAGTGTTTACACTGAGAGTTGTGTGTGCAGGTAATACACTGAGGGGTTGTGTGTGTCGTGTTATACACTGGAGTTGTTGGTCAGTGTTTATAATGAGGTTGTGGGGGGCAGTGTATATACATGGAAGGTATTTCATTGTTTTTACATGGGGGACCTTATTGTTGAGTTCAAAATGTCAGTGCATGAAAGTTGTACTTCAGTCACGTGACATCACACATGCCCACCTGATGGGAGACAGAATACGTTGTCTTTTGGGCCCCTGTCTTCCTCATCACTATGTTGGTGTGCTGTCTCCCTGCTTGTCTCAATCACTATTTTGGGTTTGCTGTCCCCCCTGTTTCCCCCTCACTATTTTGTGTGTGCGTTCCTGTCTTCCTCATCCATGTTTGTGTTGCTGTTCCCTGTCTTGTCCCTCACTTTTTTTGTGTGTGCTGTCCCCCTTTGTTTCCTCCCACTATGTTGTGGTGCTTTCTCCTGTCTTCTCCATCACTTGTTGGTGGGCTGTCCCCGGGTTCTTCCTCCATCACTATGTTGTGTGTGCTGTCTCCCTGTCTTCCTCCATCACTATGTTGTGTGTGCTGTCTCCCTGTCTTGTCTCCATCACTATGTTGTGTGTGCTGTCCCGTTTGTTCCTTCACTATTTTGTGTCTGCTGTTTCCCTGTTTCTCCATCCTATGTTGTGTGTGCTGTTTCCCTGTTTTCCTCCATCACTTTTGGTTGTGGTTGTTTCCATGTTAGCCCCCATCACTAGTTGTGTGTGCTGTCTCCCTTTCTTCCTCCTCATTTTGTTTTTTGTGTTGCTGTCTCCCTGTTTCCTCCATCACTTGTTGTGTGTGCTGTCCCCCTGTCTTTTTCCATCACTATTTTGTGTTGGTTCCCCTGTTTTGCCCCCATCAATATGTTGTTGTGTGTCTCCCTGTTTCCCCATCACTATGTTGTGTGTGCTGTCCCCCTGTCTTGCCTCACCCTTTTATTTGTGGTGCTGTTCCCTGTCTTCCTCCATCACTTTTGTGTCTGCTGTCTCCCTGTCTTCCCCCATCCTTTTTGTGGTGCTGTCTCCTGTTTTGTCTCCATACTTTTTGGGTGTGCTGTCTCCCTGTCTCCTCCATCCTATGTTGTGTGTGCGGTTTCCCTGTTTGCCTCCTATATTTGGTGTGCTTTTCCCCCTTTTTCCTCCATCACTATGTTGTGTGTGCTGTCTCCCTGTCTTGTCTCCATCACTATGTTGTGTGTGCTGTCTCCCTGTCTTCCTCCATCACTATGTTGTGTGTGCTGTCTCCCTGTCTTGTCTCCATCACTATGTTGTGTGTGCTGTCTCCTTTTTTCCCCTTTCCTCACTATGTTGTGTGTGTGTTCCCTGTCTTGTTCCCCCATCATATGTTTGTTTTTTCTGTCCCCCTGTCTTCCCTCCTCACTATGTTGTGTGGCTTTTCCCCCTGTCTTCCCTCCACACTATGTTGTGTGTGCGTCTCCCTGTTTGTCTCCATCCTTGTTGTTGTGCTGTTCCCTGCTTGCCTCCATCACTTGTTGTGTGTCTGTCTCCCTGTTTTCCCTCCATCACTAGTTGTGTGTGCTGTCTCCCCTGTCTTGTCCCATCCACTATGTTGTGTGTGCTTTTTCCCCTGTTTGCCTCCTCACTATGTTGTGTGTGCTGTCCCCCCTGTCTTCCTCCATCACTAGGGGTTGTGTGTGCTGTCTCCCTGTTTGTCTCCATAATATTTTGGGTTGTGCTGTCTCCCTGTCTTGCCCCCTTTCACTATGTTGTGTTGCTGTCTCCCTGTTTGTCTCCATCATATTTTGTGTTGCTTTTCCCCCTGTCTTCCCCCCTTCACTATGTTGGTGTGCTGCTCCCTGTCTTGTCCCATCACTTGTTGTGTGTGCTGTTCCGTTGCCTCCTTTACTTTGTTGTGTGTGCTGTCTCCCTGTTTTTGTCCCCATCATATGTTGTGTCTGTGTCCCCCTGTTTCCTCTCACTAGTTGTGTGTGCTGTTCCCGTCTTGCTCCTACATGTTGTGTGTGTGTCTCCCTGTCTTGTCTCCATCACTATGTTGTGTGTGCTGTCTCCCTGTCTTGTCTCCATCACTATGTTGTGTGTGCTGTCTCCCTGTCTTCCTCCATCACTATGTTGTGTGTGCTGTCTCCCTGTCTTCCTCCATCACTATGTTGTGTGTGCTGTCTCCCTGTCTTCCTCCATCACTATGTTGTGTGTGCTGTCTCCCTGTCTTGTCTCCATCACTATGTTGTGTGTGCTGTCTCCCTGTCTTCCTCCATCACTATGTTGTGTGTGCTGTCTCCCTGTCTTGTCTCCATCCTATTTGTGCGTGCTGGTTTTCCATGTCTAGCCCCCTCACTATGTTGTGTTGCTGTCTCCCTGTTTCCCCCTCACTATGTTGTGTGTGTGCTCCCGGTCTTGTCCCCATCACTATGTTGTTGTGTCGTCTCCCTGTCTTCCTTTTTCACTATGTTGGTGTGCTGTTTCCGTCTTCCTCCATACTATGTTTTTTGGTGTGTCTCCATGTTAGCCCCCAAATCACTTTTTGGTGTGCCTGTCTCCCTGTCTTCCTCCATCACTATGTTGTGTGTGCTGTCTCCCTGTCTTGTCTCCATCACTATGTTGTGTGTGCTGTCTCCCTGTCTTGCCTCCATCACTATGTTGTGTGTGCTGTCTCCCTGTCTTCCTCCATCACTATGTTGTGTGTGCTGTCTCCCTGTCTTGCCCCATTCATATGTTGTGTGTGCTGTTCCTGTCTTCCCCCATCACTATGTTGTGTCTGTTTTCCCCCTGTTCGTCAGTGGTGGCTGGTACATAAAACATTTAAACAGTAGTGACTGGTTAATTAGTCAGAAATGGTGATGGTAATAGTACAGAAAACTCGTAGTGAGGTTTTAAACTAGTCGTAAAACAGTCGTGGGTTGGTACATGTAAACAGTCGTTGGTTTACCTGGAGGGTTCCGGGGGTCAAAGCCCCTGTGGCCCGGTTGTGACCGGGCCCTCCGGGTGGATCAAAAAGGGCCTGTCAACCGGGGTGTTACGGGCTGCACGCAAAAAAAGTAGAGCCCAGGCCGGTGGTCAGGTACCGATTTTTAGGTGTTTGTCAAGGCCCCAGCCTGAAGAATCCCAGAGGTCTATTGGTAATCCCCCTTATGTAGCTGGGAGGCAGTTGAACAGTTGGGCCCTGAAAATTTTAATTCTCTTTAAGTGCTGTGACACCCCCGCTTTTCTTGGGGGGATGTTTCATCGTCTGCCAAATTTTTGGGTTTGTAGTGAGTGTTTTTTTGTGTGCAAAGTTCGGGACTAGTCCCTCTAGGATTTTCCCGGTGTATTTTAATCATGTATCTCTCCCTCCTGCTTCCCGGGATACCCCCCGGTTTAGAAACCTCAACGTTCCAGTAATTGAGGTGTTTTATCTCCGTTATGCGCGCCGTGAAAATTCTCGACATTTTTAGGTCAGCAATTTTTTTTTCCCCGCCTTGAAAGTGCTGTTTTGTTGCAGCAATATTCCGCCTAGATAGAAAAAGTGACCTGAAGGTGTCATAATGGGGTTGGATCCCCAGTTTTGAAGGTTCTCATTTTCCATCCTGTCATTTTCTAGCAGCGCAAATTGATACATTTTATGGTCCTTTAAGGGAGGGTTCTTCCCCACATGTCACTCCCGGTCTTTGAGTTGGGTTTTCTCTATTTTGTAGCCA